GTGTCGGGCACTGGTTTAGGGCTTGGGGTTTAGGGTTTAGGGTTTAGGGTTTAGGATTTAGGGTTTAGGGTTTAGGGTGTAGGGTTTAGGGCTTAGGGTTTAGGGTTTAGGGTTTAGGGCTTACGGTTGGAGGTACTTGGTTCCCGCTGTGCTGGTCCAGTCTGCGATTCCTGTTGTTTTTTGTTTGGGGGAGGGTTTTTGAAAGTTTAGGGTTTGAGTTTAGGGCCCAGGGTTATTTTGGGTTGAAGGTTGTAGTTGCAATGACAAGAGTTATAATAAGAGCATGAATTGAATAATCGTTTCTTGGGACCATTTCCCATTGTGTCTCGGCTTCTTTGAAGATTCCTGGACATTCAAGCCCGCTTCAAGCGCCATACGTTTTATTAGAATTCCCGCCAGAAACCACCAAACCCCAACACTCCAACAGGCTTCAGGGATATAGTAAAGGATGACATCCAAAGATCCGAACCCCTAAATCTCAAACAGAACTATCCCTAAACCCTAAGTCAACCCTAAACCCGGAGAGGCATGAACGGTGAAGACCTGAAGCCTGCGCATGGGGCGCCCTTGCGCATCATTGTCGCTTGGGCTTTCGTTTTTGGCGTGCCTTACCTAATCTACCATAACCTGCGCTTTTGGTAGGCTCTGATTATACGCCCAAATATGGAGGTGTAAGGAACCCTACAAAATGGGTTTGTGCAGGTGGCATAAGGTACTGTTCAGGGTTTTAGGCTTCATTTGAAATACGGTTTTGGGGTACATCATGATATATGCGCAACGGGGCTGCGAGGGCATATCACTTCTAGTCATGCAGACGCCTATATTATGCGTTGAGAGTTTAAAGTGTTGAGTTGGGATTTTCGAGTTGTTTGACTTAGAGGCTTGGCTTTGTTTGCTGTATACGTCAGGGTCTTGTCGTTTAGGGCCCATCGTGCGGGGTTTTGCGGATTGAAGTTTCGGACTTCAGGTTTTGAAGCGGAGACCTCAACCATAAACCCTAAACCCCATTGTAGGGTGTGCGGCTGCGGTTGCGAAGTTCGAATTTGGTTTTGCTGATATGCAGGAAGTATGCCCCACCCCTCTTATACTTAGAGGCCCAGGGGACCTAGTAAGTAGGTTATAAGTAGAGTTTTGAGTACCCTGCATGGAGTTACCCCAAGTATAACCCTGCCTATAACCGACTTATTAAGTCCCCTGCGCCTCTAAGTAGTACCTCATAATTAGAACTCTCAGCCAAGAAATCCCCAGGTCCCCGGCTGGTATGGCATGGCCTCAGTGAAATGGCTGCGCCTGGGACTACGTACACGAGAATCGGTTTCAGGCTTTATAGGGTTTAGGAATCAGGGTATAATGGTAGATTCGTGAAACCCATAAGTGCAAAGGAATGCTTTTTTATAACGGGGATCCTAAGGCCAAGGCACTCCAGGAAAGGGGGTCATTGATCAGGAAACTTCATTCCGGGTCTGACTACTGACCATTTATATACCCCGTTAGCTGTATGGGGGTTTCCGAAAATAGGGGACCCTAATATAGTACCCCAAATAGTAGGATCCTTATTATAAGGACCCCAGAATAAGGTACCCCCTATTTTCGGAAACCCCCATATAGTCCTTACATATCCGATTGGAATTTTTGATGCCCTTCGTGGTTGGGATTTGTAGGAAGCGGGCCAAGCCTTGGGATACCGCCGTCTGTTTGGGGGCATGCATCCAAGGACGAGTATTGAAGTCACAGAGGGCGGATGGTGGGGACACCAGATGGAGGCAGGCTGAGGGCTTTAAGCATAAACGTCCAATACTACTGTAGAACACATTTCCTACTCAAGACCATGCCACAGTGTGCTTTGCTTGGAAGGCTTATGGGTGTTTGTCAGCACGGCTACAACTGAGGCAAGTCATGATAGTCGTGCCGTACGGTTTAGGGTTTGGGAGTTTCGGGTTTAGGGCCAAGGTGAGCCTCATTAGGTTACGCTACACATACACCTGAGACTGAACTTACGGCTTACCGCTTAGAGTGGTAGTAAGTTGGTACCCAAAGCCTTATAAACCCTAAACCCTAAACCCCTTAAGCCTAAATCTGGACTTTCCTAAACCCTAAGCCCTAAACCCTAAACCCAAAGCCCAAACTCCGAAGGTTGAAATTCACACAGCCTCAGGTGACAGATCGGCAACCTGATCCCTGAGCCTTAGGCCCTAAGGGTCCATGTACCCAAGTAGTATGGTATAGACTTAGGGTTTAGGGTTTAGGGTTTAGGGGTTTAGGGTTTAGGGTTTAGGGTTCTGGGTCCCTCTACTTAGAGGCCCAGGGGACTTGGTAACTCGCTTATAAGTAGGGTTATCATTGGGGTGACTCCATTTAGGGCCCTTATAACTCTACTTATAACCTACTTACTAAGTCCGCTGGGCCTCCAAGTAATGCCCTCAAACCCTACACCGAAATACCCTAAACTCTGAACCCTAAGCCACTACACCCCAAATAAACTAAACCCTAAGCTCTGAACCCTAAGCCACTACACCCCAATAAACTACGCCCTAAACTCTGAACCCTAAGCCACTACTGCTACACCCCAATAAACTAAACCCTAAACTCTGAACCCTAAGCCACTACTGCTACACCCCAATAAACTAAACCCTAAACTCTGAACCTGAAACTCCAGACAGCCAGGCTTATTCCTTCCGGCGAGCGGCCGATGATCCCGGCCGTGTGCCCCTCACGCAACTGCCGGTGCGTGCCCTGATGGCCCCACCAGGCCGCTCTGAGAAGGGTTTCGGGTTTAGGGCTTAGGGTTTAGGGTTTAGGGTTTAGGGTTTAGGGTTTAGGGTTTAGGGTTTAGGGTTTTTGGGTGAACGATCCAGAAATGACGGCCTGCTGCGCTTTATGCTTCCCGGCTGCTTCCCCAGGCTTTAGGACATTGGTATTTTAGCACTTCAGGATTTATCTAGGATTTCGGCCCTGTAACCTAAACCCTAAACCCTAAACCCTAACCTTTCACGCTAGACCCTATATGAACCCTAACCAGACCCTGGACCCTAAGCCCTACACCCTAACTGAAGGCTTTCCTGACTTCTTTTCGCGGGCGCGGGTGGTCGCTCCCGGCACACATCGGGTCGTGGGGAAGGCCCGGGTCGTCCAAACATTCCGGGTTTAGGGGTTGAGGCTGTAGGGTTTAGGGGTTAAAGATTTGGGGGTTTTAGGGTTTAGATGTCTGTATAGTTTAGTGCTTTGTGGTTTGGGGTTGATATGGTTTAGGGCAAGCAGAAGAGAGCTACCTGCACGAAGCAGTAAAAAGCCTTAAATCCAACGACCCTGACACATAGGCCCCAGCGTTCAACGGTTCAACCCTAAATCCTAAACCCAAAACATTCCAGCCCCAAACCTCAAAGCACAAATATGGATCCCGGAAACCTGAATCTTAGAGACGTTAAAGCCCCAAGCCCTCAAACCCTAAAGCCCCTACCCCTCAAACCCTCAGGCTCCTCGAAGTCCTACAGTGCCAAAGGCCCCTTACTGTAGAAACCCTTAAAGAAACTCTTAAAGGCATCCTACAAAGTACAAAGGATCCCCTTACAAGCCTCCCCCTCATTCCCTGCATAGAAGCTCCCGAGGTCTGGGCTGGCGCAGTCGGAATCGACCGCGTGGAGTTTCCTACTCTGGGAGAGCTTAGGCCCTAAGGGTCCATGTACCCAAGTAGTATGGTATAGACTTAGGGTTTAGGGTTTAGGGTTTAGGGGTTTAGGGTTTAGGGTTTAGGGTTCTGGGTCCCTCTACTTAGAGGCCCAGGGGACTTGGTAACTCGCTTATAAGTAGGGTTATCATTGGGTTAACTCCACTTAGGGTACTTATAACTCTACTTATAACCTACCTACTAAGTCCCCTGGGCCTCCAAGTAAGGGTCCATTACCCGAATAGTATAGACTTTGGCCCCAAAGTACATACAAAGAGACGACTTTAAGGCCAAAGTATATACTTTTTGGGTACATGTACCCTTGGGGCATGGGTTTTGGATGTTAGGCTTGGGGCTTAGAAGGGTTTTAGGGTTTGGAGTTTCGGGCTCAGGGTTTAGAGGTTGTAGAGCTAAGGCGGTGTAGGGCTTTAGGGTTTTAGGGTTTTCGGATGTTTGTGGGTTTAGGGCTTCTATAAGGGTTTTAGGTTGGCTTTAAGCGGTTTAGGGTTGAGGGTTTTTGGTGTTTGTTTGATTTTTTCGGCTTTATAGGGCTTAGGGTGTAGTCGAGGAGAGGAGGGAATATCGAGACTGCTCTCAGGGATCATTTAGGGACTGCTGTAGGGATCTACTCTCCCACTCCTGCTTAGAGGATCCCCTCATGGATTATGTAGTTTAAACCCTAAACCCTAAACCCTAAAGGGGGACCATTGTAGGGATCTACTCTCCCACCCGCCCTTCACCCGTAAGGTTCTCCGCTGACCATGGGAAGACTTGGGCCAATGCCACTTTGGAGAGGACCGGTTACTTAGGGTTTAGGGTTTAGTGGGGCTTTAGGTTTAGGGGTTAGGGCTCAGCGGCTTGGGTTTAGGGTTGAGGGGTTAGGGCTGCACGCGCGACTTCCATGTCCTGAATTTGAGAAGGTTTGAAATTTCGGAAAACCCCCAGCCAAGCCTAGACAAGTTGTGTGTTAGTGTGATAATGGCCCGATTTTGTTGGAATAGTTTGTGTATATACTCGACTTTGATTAACTGGTATATGATGAACAGAGATGCTGTTGCCAAGCTCCTGGTTGTTTTGGGTCAAGGGTTTTGGGGGTGTTACTCAGTTGTGTCTTTCCCCCTCGACTGTGTGGCTCTAAAGCCTAGTCTAGGTTTGCGCGTGTTAGTTACTGGCTCCGTTTTGCTTCTTAGGCCGGACGTTGATGGAGCGAGTTGCGAAGCAGGTCGAAGCAACCAGGTTCACTCCGACTGTGAGCATAGGGCTTAGGGGTTAGGGCTTAGGGCTTAGGGGTTAGGCTAGACTGGGCGAGTCAGAGACCGGAGCAATGGCACCAACGACGGGCTCTCTGGAGGAATGGGCTTGTTGATGAATGGAGGTCTTTTTGTCTATGTGTGAGTGTGTATGTCTTTGTTGTCAAGGAAAGGGGAGGCGGGTACCAACGGTCGTTCTTTTGCGCAAAATCCCCCAAGCTGTCCTATGAAAGTCTCAGGCTTCCCTAAACCCTCACCCCCCCCCCCCC